GTTCGAATCCCAGCGGTGCCTTTTCACTGTGGAAGCAGCACCGATAGTGTCCTGGGTCACAGACTGACGGTAAATTACACGATAGACAGAAATACAAGTCAGGCTCATGATTCCAAAATAGATTTCACATAGAAAGTGAAATGCATAAGGATATTGACATTGTATGAACTGTGCATTAGTAGGGTATGTAGCATTATAGAGCTTTCTTATGCATTGTTACTTTTTAATGCTGCTCTTCTTTGTCAGCATCTGTGTTTGGCATTGAGCTGCAACACTAGGCCTAGTGTGGATTAATAGATTAGACAATGACAGAAAATTAATTGGCAACTATTTTAATAATCAATTAATCATTTTCCAAACAAAAATTCCAAACATTTGTTGGTCAAAGCGTCTCATATGTGAGGATTTGTTGTTTTTCTTTGTCACATCTGATTGTAAACTTGATATTTAGTTGTTTGTTTTTTACTGTTGGTCAAATAAACTATAGCAGGCACCTTTAATAATTTTTTTCACATTTTTGAAAAAATATTAATAGATTAATTGAACTAACACACAATTATGCCATAAATAAATTAGTTGCTGCCCTAAATTACAGTTATTATATATTTTTCTTCTTGAGCATATCTGATTAGGCCTCTTTAGAGCTGTTGTCTGGCTTTGTTCCAATCATGATTACATTTTTATAGCTGATAAATGCTGTTAATTACCTTAATATGACACAGGTGTTTGAGCTTAAGGCATATAAAAAACGACTTTCAGTCTACAGTCTTTTCTTTGGCATGGTAAGGAGAATAAACTGACTAATAATTCTCCATTTGGCCAATATCCAATACATTTATGAGCAGTTCTAATCACATTTTACACGGTGAAAGTAATTTATTATGCAATGCTTAATGGTGAGATGAAGTGATTAAGTGGCATAAGAATAATTAATTATTTAGTCTGTTATAGCCACCCTTGTCCCTTGTTACCCACTCTTCTGGAGAAATAGATATGTTTCAGTAAGAACAATATTCAAAAATGTAAAAGTCTTGGTACTTACTTATTTCCTGAAGCCATTTGTGGTAATTTATACTGTGTGGCTTCTAATTTAAATGGAAAAAGTCTTTAATTTCACCTCTAAATGTTCTTCTTAAACCTTGTAGCATATCCCTCTCATATTCAGAAATGAAAGGGAGCAAATATGGCAAGGCAAGGTCTAGGGATTTCAAAAAAGTATGCAATCTTTGCAAATACAGGATTAAACACAAGTTAGAAGGGCCCAAGCCTAGTTACTGCCTATATCTTCTTTTACCTGACATATGAGCTCTTGTTTTAAACCTGTAAGGGGTTGGGGATTATAATTATTGTAGGCTATGTCTAGTGACAGAAGACTACCTCGGCACTATGAAATCTTTTGTGATTTCCAACTCTGAGTGCTCTGTGTGGTCTTAACAGATATTATCATCCATAAACATAAATTTTTCAAGCGACTCCAAGTCTTACTTGTCTATTGGAGAGCTGCATAAACTGTACCAGGAGCAGTGAGGCCTGGATTATTTATGACCTTCTACTAACCGAGAGTATTGGAGCTTTGTGCACCATGAAAGACAAGATAAAGCTGTAATGACATCAAAACAGAAACTGCAATGTTGTAATAGAGCATACAAGGCCAAAAGTCCAACAAATCCAATGAATAGCATAAAGCTGAGAGCAGCTATTACTATAAATAGTATAGACACAGCATCCTGGGCTTGCTACCAAGTCTTTGTACATAAAAGTGTAACATAGCTGAGAAGGAGTATCTATCTATTTATCTATC